TGAAAGTGGGAGAAAATTGTAATTACTAGAAGGGGACATTATTTTCCTTTCTACATTAGAACAGAAAGTTATATTAATAATGTTTCTGCATAATCTCTACACTATTCCAAATTTTCTAATATGATTATTGGTTTAAAATACAGGGTTAGTCAAAATGAATAGGCCAATAAGAAAATTAATTTTAGACGAATGTATGTTTATTGTAACCAAACTACAGCTACGTAGCGACAGATAAACTATCAAAGTTTTGTCTCACCTTCAGAGATGTTCGATATGGGCGCCCCGTGTGACACGGCAGGTGTCCAAGCGATAGTCCAGTTCATTCCACATCCGTTGCAGCACATCCGACGTAATGGCATCGAATGCAGCAACGTCTGGGAAGGTGTTCGTTGAGGTCCTAACCCTAACCCTAACCCTAACCCTAACCCTAACCCTAACCCTAACCCTAACCCTATCCCTAACCCTAACCCTAACCCTAACCCTATCCCTAACCCTAACCCTAACCCTAACCCTAACCCTTGAAATTCTCGCTGGACCGTAATTACTGACATTGTTTTAGCAAATGTCATCACACAAAACGCCTTCTCTTTGCTTGATTCCGCCATTTTGAAAACAGCGACCCCTAGCGACGCCTAGCGGCATTAACGTACATGTGTGTTGCTCAAAAAAAACTTTGATAGTTTATCTGTCGCTACGTAGCTGTGGTTTGGTTACAGTAAACATACATTCGTCTAAAATTAATTTTCTTATTGGCCTATTCATTTTGACTAACCCTGTATGATGCAATCTAAGTGCATTGCCACACATGGCTTATTGGTGGACATTCTACTGGCAAGTCCCTTTGTGAATAGAATGTGAACAGAATGTTAGATTAGATGTGTCACCTGAACCTAACAACTTCCCTAGATCTTCACAACTTGGAAAATGTCACAAAAATTGTGAACTTTTACTTCTAGAAGCCACCCAGGAGCACCAGTTCTCCCTTTAAACAGGTTGTAGGGCTTCCTTGCACATTTTAATGTATTTTTTTCTCTTATTCACAACCAAAAGTAGATTTCTACTCACTTCCACTTTTTTCTATCTGCTTCATTTTGAGGGACTGTTAGCAGACAAGTGACCCAAGCCTTGATGCCTGGAACTTGCCCATCTACACGCAAAAGTTAAATTGAAGCCAAATGTGCAGATTTCAAAGAGACACTTCAAAATGTTCAATTCTGGTCACCACAATTGAAGAGAGATATTGACAAGCTGGAATGTGTCCAGAGGAGGGCAACTAAAATGATTACAGGTCTGGAGAACAAGCCCTATGAGGAGTGGCTTAAAGAGCTTGGAATGTTTAGCCTGAAGAAGAGAAGGCTGAGAGGAGATATGATAGTAATGTATAAATATGTGAGAGGAAGTCACAGGGAGGAGGGAGCAAGCTTGTTTTCTGCTTCCCTGGAGACTAGGACATGGAACAATGGCTGAAAACAACAAGAAAGGAGATTCCACCTGAACATGAGGAAGAACTTCCTGACTGTGAGAGCCGTTCAGCAGTGGAACTCTCTGCCCCGGAGTGTGGTGGAGGCTCCTTCTTTGGAAGTTTTTAAACAGAGGCTGGATGGCCATATGTCAGGGGTGCTTTGAATGCAATATTCCTGCTCCTTGTTAGGGGGTTGGACTGGATGGCCCATGAGGTCTCTTCCAACTCTAGGATTCTATGATTCTATGTTATAGCCAAAGCTACAATAGGATGAGTGATATTCCTCAAGGGTGCTTTTGTGCTCAGTGGGCATCGACTGTGTTGACCGGATAGAGAAACAGCTGTGTTTTTCTTGCTGGTGTTATTGTTAGAGGTGCATAATTTAAACTTTTCAGAAACAAAATAGCATATTTCCACATTTCTACAAGGACTACTGATTCTGCCCCCATTATACATTTTGCATTCTAAGTGACTTCAAGTTTTCTTGAGCTGGACTAGGCTTCATTAACACGGTGTCCCAAACAATATCTATTTGGACCAAGGTACAAAGCGTAGGGAAAGGCTGAGGTCCAGTAGACAGGCAAAGGAGGAAACAAAACACGTCTGGTTTTGGCCTGCTCCCCACTCATTGCCCAACCTATGTTTAGCAATTCTGATGCGTTACTGAGCAGACAGCTCAAGCTTGCAATGAGTAATCTCCCTTAGTCCCTCTTCAGTAGGCAATGAAAGCAGGCTCCACTTTGAAAATTCTTCCCCCATCATGCAAGCTGACACAGGCATGCTTTTCAAAAACCCACAGCCAATCTGTTGATCATTACTTATTTACAAAGGCCTTCGGGCAGAAAGTCCTGTAAAAACCATACTTGATACAGTATACACTAGCTTTTTCGGCTTGTGGAAGGGGGGGAAGTCCCCCTAAGGCTACCTCAAACCATCACTTTCTATTGCACATAAAATGTACCGTGTAACACTAAAGTATTTAATATATATGGTATAATATATCTACAGGAAAGGCATTTGTGTAGAAGTGTGTTAGCCTGTATTTGGTAATTTGATGTTTTGCTGAAGGCTATGACTTGAAAAAGCCTGCACCTAGTGCCGAGGACCTGTCATCTCAGTACCCAAGAGCCAGTAGAATAAAGAAGTACCCTAAAGCAGCAAAACTTTGACACAGCTTTGAAGCATATGAAAACAGTATAACTCCCCAGAATTATTATGACTCAAGATCAAAGAAATGAGGCATACTTTACATAGCAAACAGGGACAGTGCACTTCGCTCCAAATGTTGCTGTTCTCCCCTCTTCCCTCTGACTGTCTCTTTTCCCCTCTTATTTTATTTCATTTTTATAATCCTACATTTATCAGATGATAGAAGGAGAGGAGGCACTCCCTTTTTTCTTTCAGATTTCCAGTGGATAAAATTAACAGAGATGAGATGACATGAAGACACGTGAATTCTAAATGACGGCAGAGTAACAACCACATGATATGAATGCGGAAATTGGCTGCCTACTCATTCCCCCCTCCCCATCCCCTAAACAAAATCTAAGTCAGTATTGAGTTATAAAAGAGTAGTTAACAGGTACTCTGAACTTTTTTAACAAATTAATGTCAGCAATAGATGGACAATAAAAGCGGAAATGTCACAAGTAAGGGTATTTTCCATATGAACCTATTGCGGTACTTCTAAATTCCAAAGAAAACAGCTTCACAGTATAAGAATACCCTCAGATTAGGAAAAAACATAAAGTAATGAGTATCTTTCTAAGCAGCACTTGAAACTCTTGAACAAATCACTGAAAAGGACTGTATAGAATTCTAATCATTCTAAATGAAAAGAGTGAACAGTTGAAATAAATATTCCTTTTGTATATTTTGTATATTTGTTCCTGATTATTTAAATGTGAATATTTCTATCTCGATTAGCATGGATGTATATTTTCGGTTTAGGTATTGTTTTTGTTATTGTTTTGTGTTGTCAAGTAGTTTCCAATTTATGGGAACTTTAAAGCAAATTTAACACAAGATTGTCTTGTTCAAGGAGGGCGTGCTTCTGCCTTCCTCTGAGGCTGAGAAAGCATGACTTCACCAAGCACTACATTTTTGACACTTGCAGTGTCAAAAGCAGCATTTTTTTAAAAAATCTTTAGTAGGATGTCCATTGTAATGTGGCCAAGATAATCTGAATAAATGTGAAATTTGAATTAAATTTGGGGATTCCCCTAGACTAGAGCAAATTCTTCTGAGGGATGTCCAAAATGAGCAATGAGTCTCCTATACATATACAATCTGAGCCCTGCCACATGCACAATGGAGGACCTTCTCACAGCAACACCAGAGGCACCTGATGTGGCCAGCTTCTGGTCAAAGAAAATTTAGTATAATGACAAGTTTTTAATTTTGTTTGTGGTTTTTTATACATTATAACTATATTCTCAATTTGTTTTGACACGATAAATAAATAAATAAATAAATAAATAAATCCTGTACATATTTATGTTGTCACCTATGGACCCACCACCAAGACTCTACACTTGGAATGCAATCATACTCGATCATGACTGATAACCAATGGTGATGATAATGGTTTAATTTCTAGAATTAATGGTTGTTAATTCCTAGAACAAAGTTTGAAGCATATTTGGAAAAATATACCCGAGGAACTGAGTGAAATTAGCATTTTACAGTTTTGATTCATATAAAATTTCACTATACATTATAAAGAAGTATCCTTGGCAGTATCAGAAAGCCTCTGAATAATCACATAACCATAATAATTTATCTAATGGAATTCATTATAGGAATCGGTTAGAAACAAATACTGCACACCTAATTAAAGGCAGTAGGATACACAGGTATAAAGTGAGAACGAAAGTACGTTCACATTGCTTGTCTTCATAATACCTATAGTCTTTCTTCTTTAAGGAGTCCCCACATTTCATAATTAATATTGCTTTTAGCCTTAGTAGAACTGCATTCATTGTGAACTTTGCTTTGGCAAGTACATAGATTATTAGGCCTTTAAAAAAATTCAAAATCAATTAGGGGAAATTTGATTTCAATCGACAGGATAAAAGGAAGGTAATACACAGGTTCATTTTTGATTGTGATGATACATTTCACATATGGCCTTAAGTACAGAAAACAGTACTCAGAGGGATTCCAACAAAAAGAGAATTGCCCAAGGCAAACTAACCACATGGGTTCCTCTGATTGGTTAGTGCTATCATTAGTGCCACTGCTGTTTAAGAACTACACATGGACAGGACAGGGTGACAGCTAAGACTTTAAAGCCTATGTATTTTTCAAACAGCTTTTCAAACTGTTTTTCATGACAGATTTTTTTCCAGCTCTATCATTAACTGCTGACAAGCTGACAGAATAAATACTTCAGTCTTTCAGAAACCATCTAACAATCTTCTGCGTTCCCCACCACACCGCCATGACCCCCCCCTCCCCATACATTTTTATTTATTTATTATTGGGGGAGGAGGTTATATTAGGAGAGGAGATAAAGATACGACTTGCTTAGTCTTACCTAGCCATCTTGGGCGAGGAGTTGGGTGAATTTCGCATGCCTCCATTGCGCTGCTTCTTTTTGGGTGACAGCGTCGTCGGCTGCTCGTCTTCAACTGGAAATACAGGCAACTGATGAGGTCATGATCAGCTCAAATTGTCACATGAAATACAGGTGAAATAGCCAAGAACACACACTCAGTTTCATTCACACACTGATACTTCATTACTATCTTACATAGATTCAGTAGAGACCAAAGCAGTGTTAGTCGAAAAGAGTTCAAATTGAAAGCTGAGGTGGAGGAAGAGGAAGAAAGAAAGGCAAGGCATTGACTGAAGAGATTCTGGAGATGGTTTGTGTTTTCATAAAAGATCATTTATAGTTAAGCTGTGTTTTCAGAAAACGGAAATAAGCACCCTGCAAAAAGATTAAGTATATTTGAATTCCAAATACAGAATATTGCCTGACTGTACTTTGCTTATGTTGATAACCTGATACTCCTGAAATGCCAGCGCACAGAGTGTTCATGAAGACATATAAAACATTCATTGCCTTGTTATTCAGGGCTGCAATAAATGAAAAATGATGCTGTTGTGCATGAAACTTCAGCACAATTAAGTCCGGATGCACACTAGCAAAAAAAAAATGTACCCAACTTACTCCTGATATTGCTGGAACACATGGTGTTTGTCCCATTTGCAAAACAAACATGCTCCTTTTAGGCTTTAATGCTATTAAAATTAATGCCATTTACTCTGAATTTCATTGGAAATCATTTTTTTAGAAGTTTGTCCCTGCTTTCTGAATTATATTTGGGGCTTTGATGGTTGGTGGACAATATTGATCAGTGTGTGGTTACCTAGCCCAGGCGGACATATGGTAACTCCAAATACATTTTTCTTTTTCACCAAAAAGCAAACTTTCAATTTACTTGGGGTAGGGAGTTCAGTTGGAAGCCTCCATCATCAGAATAAAGAGTGAAAATGGGGTGCCACAACAGAAGGATATTAAAATCCAATCTGCCAATTAAAAACAACCAGAAAAAATAATATCTTGATGAGGGCATTAAGCAATGTAAAAAAAAATGGGATGTCACAAAAAGGGCTGTTAAAATCTAGTTTGACCATTTAAAACAAGAAAACAACATGACAAGTGGGACAGGAAGAGTTGTTTAGTGGCAGCTAAATCTCTCTTCACTGCCCCCCTCATCCACTACCATTTCAAAATACGGAGAATCCACAGTAGTGCAACAGGCAATAATCTGATGTAGCGACCACATGGAAATGGTGGAATGCTGCCTTAGGTCCTAAAGTAACTTATGTAAGGAGGATGGTGTGACTGTAAATATCCATTAGGTTCATGTTATAACATGTTAATGTGATGATAACTGGAGTAGAACCAGGACCAGGTATGCAAAGTTGAGCTGATTTATATTGCTAGTGCGGATTCGGCTCCAGAACCCATTGTTTCACTCTTTATTATAAAAGGGGGTGTTATCACAGGAAGAATGTAACAAAATGGCAGGAAAACTTCCTGTATAAGAAACAATGGGAACTGTACATGAAATTCATTTTAATGAGGATGGTGGACTGTTTAAGTAGATCACCATTAGCTTTATATTTTTTCTTTATAAAGCAAAGAAAAATAAAGCAAGTTAATCGTTACAGAAAAATATAAATGTTGTCTAAACTCTACAGCACAATGATGCTTAAGTTTACCAAAATCATAGTATGTTCTCTCTATTGCCTATTTTTATCTTAAAAATTGAAATAGATTAAACATATACAAAAAAAAACAAATAAAACTGTTTTCTTTTTATCACTAACTCATTTAGCACTACCTTGCTCTACCATTTTTGATCATTAGAAGAGTCAGTTCTCTCTCTTTACACAAAATTGCTCCACAGCAATACTGGGCTTGGTAAAATTGACACTTTTATCAAATAAAATAGGCCATTTCCACCCTATAATTAATAGAAAGTCAAGCTAAATACAATGAAAACAGCTAAGCCTCAGACAGAAGTTATTTGGAATTATAAGAAATAGAAGCATCACGGGGCATTTCTTCCTGTGTAGGTTCAAAAGTAATCAACCAAAACAACAACAAAGTAAATGAGTGATGCAAGTCTTTTGGGAACTATGGTCAAAAAGCCAAATTAAATTTAAACAAACAAAGAGGCCTATAGGTTTGACAGCTGCCTAGATTTGGCTGCAAATGAATTAATAACACATTCTGGCTCTAATCCAGATAATGTTATTTTCAACTAAGATCTCATTTCTTTCAAAACAATTTAGGAAAAACTGTTTTGAATGTTGGATCTCTTATTTTAACCCTCTAATGATGTGGTTTGTTATGTCTCCCTGTTCGTTAATTCACTTACCTATCAACATACATGCATACATACTACGTCCTCAATTTCCAAATTGGTGCCAAAATCAGTAATCATGTAAGCCAGTTATGTCATATCTATTCAGAAATAACAACAGCATCAAAGCCACTAAAACTGCCTCCACAACCTCAAGGTAATCCGGTTGATATTGCTTGTGAGACTAATAGGTTTATCCTGGTCTTGCAAAATGTTTTTTTTTTCAATAAATTAATTGGTGAGAAACCACACTCTTTGGCAGAGAAGGCTCAAGACCTTATAAAGCTATAACTCCCATGATTTCATTGCACCAAGCCATGGTAATTAAAGTGGTATCAAACTGCATTCACTCTAAATGTAGATATGCCCTTGCTTGCCATATTTATATGGTCTTTTCACATTGTGCATGCATATTTGAAAACTGGACACTGTACAAATTTCCATTCATTTCACGTCACCAAGATATGACATTGAACTTTGTAAAGTTAAAGAAATTTCTTAAAACCTCTCTTAGGAAATGGAATATATCTCTTGATAATGATATATATTTATGTAGCATTCAAGCTAGCCTTTGTTCATAAGACTTACACCATGCCTTTAGGGAACATTGGGAACAACATGAAGTATTTTTAATTACCATTTATTTCAATGGGAGAGTTAAAGATGTACTTTACACCTCTTCTTTTGCAATTAATAGTACTGAAAGTTGCTTAAATGTGACTGAATTGCAAAAGAAATCATATAACTTATAAGATGATAGTTCTGTCTCAGCAAAAACCGAGTGCAGAAATGTAGGGAAGGCTAGATTGTGTCTTTGTGCTCTTGAAAAGCATCCCATTAGAGCTATATGGTATAAGAAACTTCAAACAGAATACTCAAATATCATCACCAGTATCAAGGCAACATATCATTCCTTCCCATCTTGGGCTGGAATGGATTGTTTACCCACTCCTGTAGGAAAATACCCCAAACAGATGAATGGGTTTCAAAACAACTGGGCCCTGTTTCATTATAAGATGATGCAAAAGTAAGCAACTATGAATAAAACACTGCACAGAGCGACAAGAAGAGTCCTTATGATAATCATGGCAACAGACACAAACCCTTGTCCATCCCCTTAGATAGGGGTCAAACTGATTGGTTTCCAATGACAATACTGACATTACTTAGGACTTCATCGCATTAAGACAAACGGATGAAAAAGTTCGGCTAAATAGAGCTCCAATTTCCTATGAAATGCAAGAACTGTTTACCATCACCACACTTCCATGAAACTCAGTATGTATCTGCATTCTTTTAGGTAATTTCTCATCACATTACAGTTCTGAGGCCCTGCCCACCATCCTTCTCCCCCGCATTATTTGTTGAAAGAAATCCTCCTCTTTTTGAAATCTCAGCCTCCTTCCGTACTAAAATGAGATCTGAGAAGTTTCTGAGCATGCTCAGTTTGTCCCTTTGGGATGCTGCCAAGAAGAGAGGAGGAAGGAAGGTAGAAAGAGGGATTAAGTATTTCAGTGTCATTTCTGGCATAGGGGAAAAGAGACAAACTCTGCAACTTAGCTGTATGTGTTCTGGGAACAAAGGTGCATATACAATGTATAATACTTTCATAATCATATACAAACAAATTACTAGGGGAAACTTGCATCATTGTATAATTGCAGCCAGGCTTTGAAGCTGCAAGGCTATTCAATGCTAATCAAGAGTGCCAACTGCATTATTCCCACTTGCCTCTGATAAGTGGGGGCCCCATCTAAATTGCCATATAATTCAGCTTCTGAATCCCAAAGATCTGGAAACTTGCATCATTGCATAATGGCAGCCAGGCTTTGAAGCTTCAAGGCTATTCATTGCTAATCAAGGTCACCAATTGCTATGTTCCCACTTCCCACAGAGGATGATTGCCACTAATGTGGGTGAAACGTCAGGGGATAATGCTTCTGGAACATGGCCAGACAGCCCTGAAAGGCGCTAGAGTTTAACTGAACTCAGTGGGGCTTATTTCCAAGGCTTAAAAAAAAGAATATTTTTGGCAAAGACCTACTTGCTCAGTGAGGAAAAGGAAATGGCTGTGACGGAACTCTTCCTAACCAGGGTGGGTGTTTTATCTCCTCCCACAACTTCCACTCCCACATTTTAAACTGGGAACAACAAATGCTACTACATTTGATACCTGGCCAAAAAAAAAAAAAAAACCAGAGAGTTGAGAAAAATCCATTTCCTCACTCTTCCTGATATGTTGAAAAAGACCGTTGCCCCCTATGTTTAAAAGACTCAAAAACGGCTATGCTCTACAGTGGATTACCAAATTGTAAGTGTACAACTCAGTGGAATTTAACTTATGTGGTGAAGTCTTTAGGACTGGTTAAGCGATACTATAAAATCATTCTGTTTCCTAATAGTCCTAATTTGACAACGATAATTTAAGGAAGAGGAATGTCATGGACTGCATAAAGACAGCAACAAATGCAGGGAAAAGAGGTATAAATTATGGACAATTCTAAAAAAAACAACCCTTTCTGTTCAAGAGGGTTGATTGGCTGAGACACATCTTTTGACCCACAAACATTTGGTACTGAAAATAACTAGGAGATCAAGGTATATTAAAGAGTCAAAGAAATCAGAAATTATGATATAATTAGAGAGAAATATATAAATAATCCCATGGATTGAGATTACTGAAAAAGATAGGAAATCTAGCTATTTTTGAGTACAAGGATACCACAACACATATCAACCAGCAGTCTTTG